GCAGAGACGCAGAGACGCAGAGACGCAGAGACGCAGAGACGCAGAGAGACACAATTACATAGAGCTCAATAAGCACAAGCCAAGACCCAAATAAGCTGTTTCTCCTCAGATCTTTCTGAGCTGCACCATCCCTTATCCAAATGCTTGCTTAGTTCCTCAGGGTCCCACAGGTGTTCAAGAGTAAAATCCCATGATACCGGGGGTCCCCACACTTGTAATTTCTTTCCTAAACCTCTCCATATTCCCTGCCACTCCACATTCTCTGGTTTTGGGGAAAGCTTCTTCCACATAATGTAAATTACTATTGCAGAGAGATTGATAGCACAGTACCTAAGCTGGCACCCTGAACATGCATAAGGAACTGGGAAGAACACCTGAAAAACAATCCAAACATCATATTCATATTGTCTGTTAAATTAGCCAGGATGTATAGGAACCAGGCAGGTATCTTCATCAGCGCCCTTAACTGACTATAGGTACGTGCAACTCCGACACAGAACATGAGGAGCTTAAAAAGGAACCAATATGTTCCAAAGAACATAAGGGTCCTTAGTCCTCTGTATAGTGCTCTTAAGATGAAGTGAAGACCCATAGTTGCCCGCATTCTCCTCCAATAATTGTCACGGGGTTATCTCTAGATATAAGATCGTGACGGTGGGCACAGGCTTTGGGGGAGGGAAAAAAAAAACAAAAAAAACAAAAAAAAACAAAAAAAAAACAAAGGAGAGAAGGAAAAAAAAAAAAAAAGGAAAGGGGACCAACAGTTTGCCAGGTGACCCGGCTGCCCTGGACCACCTGCTCCGGGAAAGGGGGAAGGACAGAGAGCTAGCAGATAGTTTTAACAAAGAAAAAACACAAAGGCAACGATCTGAGGAGGAAAGGTAATTTACCGAATTTGACTAAATCAAACAAAACAAGAGACAAGAATACCCAAAGTACGAGTCAAACCATGATCGTGTGAGGGAAAGCATGTGCTTTTCTCTGCAGTGAGCTGAGATGGCTGAGCCAGGGTGGGAAAGAGAGGCTGGGGTCCTCCAGAGCTCCACCTCATTTCCCCTTCCCACCAGGTCCTCCGGGGATGCCACTCCTCCCCTCCCATCAGGATGCTCAAAATGCCGATAAAAGGCAGTAAACAGGATCAGAACATTAACTCTTTAACTGCCACTGGTCCACATGACGCTCTGATGTGGAATACTGACAACAAAACATCACCAAACCACAACAGTAATGTAAAGGATAAGACTGAAAATGTCTCCCTTTCTTTAATGGTGCTATTAAATTGTGCTTTGTGGGTAGATAGTAGATAGTTAAGCTATTATGAATGTGTCAACGGTTTAGGGGCTGGTTCGGCCCAGTTCCATGACGAGCGCGGCAGAGGGATCCACAGATCCACGCCTCCAGAAAAAAAGGAAACAGGGGACCCCAAAATAATTAAAAACAGCAGCACCGATCTGAGGAAAAACAAACTAATTTACTAAGTATATTATCAGAATGCAAGATAACACACTATAATACAATACCATCAGAATTGAAGCTAATAAATACAATGCGAGAGAGAATGTCCAAAAGGGTGGACAGGCCTCACCACAACGCTGAGGTGAGATGCACAGTCCAGTTGAGTAGCAGGGAGACGGGAGCAGCGCCCATGAGAAAGAGCAGGCGAGAAAGAGCGCATCAGATGACCTTGCCAAGAGTTAAACCTCCCCTCGCTGACCGCAAAGTCCCCAGGGGAATGTAGTTTTTCTCTTCTGGTCAGGTACCCAGCACATGAGCATTGACAGTTAAACTCCCAGTGCCCCACATGATGTTATGATGTGGAATACCAAAAAACAAAAATTACAAAACCATGACAGAAGGTTAGTCAAAGCCTAAATTTTTTGCTTTATAAAGACATAAAAAAAATTGTGGATGGAGAATGAAAATGCGAGAAAGAAGCTATAGCCTATCTCTTATTTTCCAAAATACCCACTCCGCTCCCTGTGTTAGTGAGCAGAGAGAATGTGGGTGTAGACTATATGTATAATCAAAAGATATCAAGATGCTATAATCACAATATAATTGTATAATCAATAGACACCAAGATGTTATAATCACAACACAATCAAGAGAGTTAGACAAAAAAGACAACAATCACAAAAAAAGAATAGGGGAAGAGCTTACCCTCCCGCTGAGCTCACCACAAAACACCAGACAAGGCGATCTCCAGAGGAAATCCTTCCCTACTGGTAGCCAGCTCTTCAATAGGTCTAGGAGGGGTGGAGCCTGGCTCCCCCCCTTCCAGCAGCACAGGTGAATTGCCTTCACCTGTGCTCCTCTGGCTGACTCATGGCTCACCTCAGGTGATCAGTCAGAGGTTCAGGCCCTGACTCAGCAGTTCCCATACACTCCACCCCCTCACGGCATGAACCAATGATCAGGTTAACTAAAGGGTAAGCTTTCCCTAATACAGAGAACCACTATATCGCGACGCTTATACAATTTTATCGCGATGTGTGTTGCTACAATTCAAGACGAGTGACGATCAGTGGATGCCCATATTCTTCCATGGGCCAGTGCTCGATGATGTGACTGGAAGCATGAGGTCCTGAGGTGCAGGTCCGTTCTATGTTCCATCAGTCCCATGCAGACCATCACCGGGTGTTGTATGTGATCTGACAGCAACACTGGAACACTTGATGGCATTTTGTTCCTTCCGGTGATCCTGAAGGCTCACAGACTCACGGGAAGTAATACAGATGTTTCACAGGTACCAGGAGGGGAAGGTCTGCTCTCCAGGGCAAGATACAGGCTGTATTTCTGTCTTGGGTCAACGCTTCCACTTGTACTGGGGCACGTCCTGGCCACCTGTACCACACCTTTTGGCCGGATATCTGCGGCTGCATAACGATATCAGGCACCAAAGGAGGAGTCCTGATCTGCCACAGGGACATGATGGGGATCCCTTTAGCAATAAAGATCGGAGTGTTGACCACAGTATCAGTAGGCCATGTACCTATTACTGGAGGGACTACTGAGCCTCCCACCTCCAATAGTCTCCCCCAAGGTGCAAGTAGGCCACACCACTTGGGTCCTACCTGCACCTCCCAGGGCCATTTTATTTTATGGGTACCCGGCTCTAAATTCTCAGGGGCAGGGAGCAGAAGATTATTTTCATTACCAATCTGGAGTCTTATCTGATGATCAGTGCCCGTAATTTGGATCCTAAGCGGGGTGGCCCATGTCGTCTGCAACATTCTCAGGGCACTGGGTCTGCCGTCTCGAGGTCTTTCATTCAGGTCCGACAGGGTTTCATACAGTCTTTTCGTCCACCCCTGCAAGGACTGGGAGTCTGTCTTCAGGGTAGCCTTAAGAATACCGTTATAACGTTCGATGAGGCCTGCCCCTGTTGGATTATATGGCTGGCAGGTGGAATCACCATTCGATGTTATTTTCTTCTGCCCAGCGCTGTATCATTGCACCAGTAAAATGAGTCCCTTGGTTGCTCTCGATGACTTGAGGTGTCCCGTAGGCAGACATCAGTTTAGTGAGTGCCTTGATGGTATATGCCTGGTTTGCTGTCAGTACTGGATAGGCCTGCAGTAGCCCACTTGCGGTGTCGACACAGGTCAGGGCGTATCTTGCCCCTTCGGAATGAGGAAGGGGCCCAATGTAATCGACCTGCCATCGCTGGAGAGGATTGTGTCCCCTAGCAAGATGGGCTGTTGTTTCGGGCAACGATCTCGGTCTCATCTTGGAGCAAGTGTCGCATCCCGGCATGCCTGGACGATATCAGATAGTTGTACGGGCAGTCCCCATGCTTTAGCAGCTGCCCACATTGTCTTTTGTCCAGCATGCCGTAGCTTCTGATGTAACCAGCGGGCGATGTTCTCAGATGGCGAATTCTCAATCCATCGAACTCGGGCCAGTGTGTAGGCTTCATCATTTCCCGGTGACTGTAGGGGCTGATGACCAGAAACATGGTAGACACATACAGTCCTGTGTTTGACCATATACCATATATCTAACCACATTTCTTTGCCCCAGATCGGTCAGGCGTGGATTGTCCATTCCTGGGTGGCCCACTGTGCAATCCAAAGAGTGAGCCCCCGGTACACAGCCCAACTATCTGTGCAAATGTTCAGGACACCATCACCGGGTACCCTAGTTATAACCATCCACACGGCTCGCAGTTCTGCCCATTGGCTGCTCTGACCATCCCCCTCATCGAACCAGATTGTCTCGGTGGAAGGATGGTATGCTACTGCTCTCCACTTGCTCGGGTTGCCCTTGCTGGACCCATCTGTGTACCAGGCATCTTCAGGGATAGGATATTTTCCCTCCTGAACAGGACTCTTCTCTGGTGGAGCGACCAGTATTTTTTTTGGTGCATCACTGTGATACGTCACTGGCCCTAGGATCTTCTGGAGTTCTTCTTTCAAGGGTG